GGGTTGGAGAAGATTTTTCTCTAAAATACACTTTAGAGATGAAAATATAGATAGATTGTGACAACTAGACTTTTGGTTGACTTTAGAGCTTAGAACATCTTCATTGGTGAGATAGCTTGTAAATATCTTAGCAATATAATAGTAATATAATTAGCTTATTTCAAGTTAGAACTTCACTACCAAATAATATATTCATTGGTGAGATAATATTAAATATCTCACCAATATAATATTTTTAACTAGTGAAAATCCATGCGTTGCACGAAACAATTATTTAGATGATTTTTAAAATTATTTTAATATATATATACATATACTAACATTGATATACTTAAATGATATTTAAGATTTATGCTCATAATTTCTATTTATACAAATTCAAACATCATTTTCAAATGCTTAATATGAAACTGAACCATATGATGATATATATAAATATTTTCATTTGAATACTATATTTTCAATATAGCTCTAGAATTTAGTGTATTCTTTTGGAATCTTTTCGTTATAGATAAACACATGTAAAAAATTGTAAATTTTTTTTTTTTTTTGAAATTATTGATCACATATTTGGTTTATAAAATTTGATTTTTATATTATCTAAATTTATATAGGTTCTGCAAATTTTTAATGAAATGATAGTTTTTTTATATAAATTTATTTTTTATTCATATCTTTATGAGTATTTGTACAAAAATCAATATCGTATGTGACATAAAAAAAAATTTTAGTTTTCTCAAAAGTATTTTTTTATCTATCAATAAATGAAGTTCATAACATTTTTAAAAAAATTGCATTTTCTAATATTAGTTACATAGAGAAAAAAATCTAGTACAAAATTATCAATGGTATGTCAAGATGAGTTAAACTTGGCATAAACTTATAAAACTATTATATCAATTATTGATATTTAATACCATACATTACAAAATATTGATATACCAAATATGATAGAAAATTATATAATGACATTATGGCATGTCGCCAATACAAAAAAAACATCGGAACATCTTATATACCTTTTTAATTAGTTTATTATAGAATAATGAGAAATTTTGAGAT